ATTCAATTAGTTCGGGCTTGTTTAGTGTTGAATTAGGACCAAGACAAAAAAAGTTCTTCTAGTCAAGAAGCTCGTGCTTCCTTTGTTGAAATTAAAGGAAACCCTGAATATTGGGTAGCTGTTGTCAAACCGGGACGAATATTATACGAAATGGGTGGAGTAACAGAAAATATAGCAATAATGCCTATACCCCACCCCGACTCGTTCTAAAAAAAATATTCAGAAATGAATTAATGGTGGACTTACCATTATCCTTTTTATAGTGACGAATCTTGTATGTGTTCTTAAGAAAAGGAATTTGTCCATTTTTCGGGGTCTCAAGGGGGCGTGGAAACACATAAGAACTCTTGAATGGAAAGGCATCTAACGGGGTTCTATACAGACGATTCCCTCGGTTACCAAAATAAAATATTATTTCCAAGGCCGCTAAATAACAACCATTGACTACTATTTGAAAATTCAATGAGACATATGTCTCGTATTTATCGAAAAAGCGATTCGTTTGAAGGGATTTTTGATGATATCGATGAGAACACCCAAACGCGCTCCAAATATCCCGTCAACCCAGAAAAATAAGAAAATTTTAAATCCAACTTCATCTGAGTTCGAATGCTACTGAGAGGTCCACTAGAGATCAGAAATTGTTGAAGAAAGAACAAGATCAGAAATTTTTAGTAATAGATGGTTTTAAACTCACCTATTATGATAACCAATGTGGGACAAGTAGGTAGAGACCTTGGGCAATTCATCGAGAGTTTGAAGAGGTAACTTCAGCCTTGCCATCTCGTGATGTTAATATGATCATGCTAGATAGATTATGTCCAGTTCAGGTCCTTGGATTCATGTAAAGTCAAGTTATGTTCGGTTTAAGCTCTATTAAGCCATAACCGAGTGATGTCATTGCCCGTGCGCTCGTGCGGTGCCAAGTGTGCGAGCAAGCAGGTGACTCACCGCACCACTTGCACACCGAGACTTATCCGTACTTGGGAGCTTAAAACTTGGTTACTTAGTCATGATCACGGCACTTAAAGGATTATGACCGGTAATAGTGCGCGCTTGCGTGAGCTTAAAACCCATTGATCCACTGCTATGCTTAAATAGTAGAATTGTTTACATAATTCCCATTGTCATTAAAAATCTGTGAGTTTAAAACCCATTGATCCAATGTTCTACAAACCATCTATTTGTGTCTTATTATTTTATTGCTTAATATGAGAGTGAGAGGAAATTTTCTTTTTCCATATTTTTGTCATATTATTTTATTGCTTAAGCTATATATGATTGGACTAATCTTTAAAAAATATATCAACTACATTTAATATTTATAAAATATTATGTATTTTAAAATATCAATAAATTAAAAACTTAAAAATTAAGTTAACAGTATTTATGAAATATTATATATATTTAAAAGTATCAATAAATTAAATAGCGGTCCAACCGGTTCCACCACTGGTAGAACCAGTGAACCATTGAACCAGTAGTTTGACCGATTCGATAACCGGTCCAGTTTTGAGAACATTGGTTTTCACCCTAGGACAACAACACTGTGGAAGTTCATAAGTCCCTGGTGCATGGTCATGGCCCACCGGGGGTCCGACCCCCCCAAGGAGGGAAGGTTGGTGGTTACTGCCGTCAACAATATCCATTATAATAAATTACAAGATGAATTGTTTGTGATTCATTTTGGTCAAGATAAATATTACAACATACTTAAGCCATAACCATAATATTATTTTTTTTTTCACAAATATTCACTTTTTATTAAAAAAATATTTATAGAAAATCTTAATATGTTAGGTAGAATTTTTTCTTTCAATTAATCAGCGAAATCAAGTTGATAGATTAATCTTTGCCAATATAATTTTTCTTAAGTTTTATTTTGTTATATATAAAAAATAATTTTTTAAATTAATATAATCTACCATTTAACATATAATGACCAGATACATTGAATAGTTTTACTAATGGTCAAAAATTAAACTTAAAATATAATAATGGTTCTAGAATTTATTTTTATATTATTGGCAACCATGATTATTTTTATTATTTTTTTTTTTATTTTCTTCTATAATGAAATTCTTGTAAACTATATTTTTAGTGCAGAGTATACTATATAAACTATAAATCCTTATAATGCAAATTAAAAAAATATTGATTATAGAAGGGATTAAATTTTTGGCATTTTCTAAATTAAAGTTGTTTAATTAGTATACAAAATTAAATTCTAAAAAACATGAGTGTAAATTTTGTAAAATATTTATATACTATTTAATTTTAAATGCTAGCGTGCATTAAATATTTTTAACTACATAAAATAAAAAGAAAAAAAAGACGTACGACTTCTATAACTCTTATAAATAATAATGACATTATAAGGCAACAAAATTTATAATAAAATAATAATTAAGTTTATAAAGTGAACAATAATAAGTAAAATTGTTATTTTTTCTTATATCAAGGAATAAAATATATATACTAAAATTAAATTTATATTAGTATAAATGTGTTAGTATGATAATATATTAATTATTTTAGCCCTAACATTCTAATATTTAATGTTGTGGCTAAAAATATTACGCTGATTAAGAGGTTAAAAATAAGTTATAACCCTATTTTTAGACTTAGGACAATAGTTGCATCTCGGCAGTAAGACCGTTACCAAAACAAACAAATAAGGGGCGAAAAATAGATGATCTCTATTATTTTATGGACTTATACGAATAAAGTTTGAAAATAACTCATTTATTTGTTTGTCACGTGCTTCGCATAGAGTTCGTACTAATTTTATAAAACAGAAAAAATAGAAATATGTACCGTTATGAAAAATGTAACAGGGGTTGGCTCAAGTGGTAAGCAACTTGATGTCGCATAAGCATGGTCTCGGGTTCCAGTCCTTGTGGATGCAGAAAACCCTTGTTGGGAGACTCATCCACCACTGTCAGGTACTCGGGTCGACCAACGGATTAGTCGGGGCATAGATCTGGATACTGGCTAAAAAAAAAGAGGAAATAGCTATTTTCACCCCGTTCTGAAGTCACACTAAGTTTTTCACACCACCCAATAAAAAGCTAAGTTTTTCACCCCAAAAAGTACGAAGACATAT